CCCCAAAACCCCAAAACCCCTTAAATTGAAATTTAAAAAAATTGAAAAGCAAGAGAATAAAAAAGAAATTTCGATATATTAAAAGTATAAATAAAACGAGTGATAATAATACATGGAGTCCATGTCTTTTGACAATAACAACCCTTCTCATAAAAATTCAAGATTTTCTTCAATGTACATAATACTCATCCTTATCCATTCAGGAATCCTAAGATGAATTAATTCAGAGATGACTTGCTCTCCTAGCTATCACTAGGACACACTGAAGACACTAACATTAAGAACTGGAATGAGATTAAGTTTCAACATCACATGCCTTCTTGCAGAACTTAAGCTGCTGGGTTCTCAACAAACCATCGGTACTATTCATTATAAATTAACTTTGATCAGAATCTATGTATTGGGAGGAGAAGATGGTGGCGGGTGATTAGTAGAAGCTCAGGAGCTATGGGAATGCTCCTTGCTTGAGGAATATCCTGAATGGAAATGCTATAAAATTACTGACCCTAATCTAATCATGCCCAGTATGATTTATACACTATTTTTAACCGTTGTCATAGATAAAATAGCCAGACATACAATGACTTTTATCAAGTCATAAAGCCAAAAATCTGTCATTGTCATTGGTGGACAGAGAGGATTCTAAAGCAATGAGCGAAAGTTCGAGTTATTGCAGATGCAAAATGAGAGAGCTGTTTCCCAATCTTCTAAGAAAATTCCTTATAAAATCCCAAGTTTTTGCTTCAAACTGGAGTTAAACGAAGTGAACAGACTATATCCAGTTCAAATCGAATTGAATCAGAGTCAGTTAATCTACAAAGTTAATGAGATTGATTCACATACAGCAAATCTATTACAACAATTCAATCAAATAGTGTTATTCGGAGGGTATCTCAATTCAGCTACTCTGAGCAGTATAGTACTTTCGATTGATCTAGATAATAATGTCCTAACTTAAATAGATGCAAGAGGTAAGGGCCCTTAACCTAGATGTGAGCACTCTTCTTGCTACATTGAAAATGAAAATAGTATTTTATACTTTGGAGGAAAAACAGGACATCTCGGAGATAGACTTAACGATCTTTGGATGTTGAATTTAAACTAAAACACATGGATTGAAATTAGATGCCCAATTAATGTAAATGTCTGGCCTTGCGCAAGATCTGGACAAGGAATGATATACTTTGAAGAAGGTCTAGTATTTCTATTTGGAGGAAGAGGTAATGATTCAGTGATCTAGGAGTTAAATGATCTGTGGACTTTTAATGTTAAAACTAAAGATTGGATTTAACAGCATGCGTTTTCTAATCCCTAAGATAGTGCCTTTGACTCACCTGTGTCTGAAATTAGACTGACTAGAATGATCAGGAACCTCAAACACGATTACCAAAGTCCCCTTAGAAGACCTACACTTCGACATTAGATTACCCGACAAGATACAAGTTAGTATAGAATTGGAAATATTATTAAGTTGTAGAGCACTGATTCTAACTAATTACAGTTCAACCAGTCAAAATAGATAAACTAATCGATCATGGATGAGTCAATTATAACAAGCAATTAACAAACATTTTAAAGACTCCCCATTGAGGAGAACATTATCACTATGAAGAAAGTTCAAACTCCAAAAGATTTCACTGTCCATCAAATAAAGAAGAAAAAAAGGTAGTTGTCGGATGACAAATAAAACTCAAGTGCTAAAACTTCTATTAACTTCTTTGACCGAAGTAAGTCCAAGTTTGATGACCTCAAGAACTTTCCAGAGTATTTTGTAAATAGAATAGAGGAAATGAAACAGATAAAACTTAAAAAGTCCTCTCAATCATAGTCTGTCCACACTGCTTATTAGGGATCTAGGAAAGACAACGCATTTAAAGATTAGCTATAAATGATAAATGAAAATCCCTATTTTAATTACGTTGACTATCTCGAGAGAACTAAGAATAGCAGTCAGTTTTATGCTAAAGAACATGAAAAATTCTAGAGCCAATTTAAACTAGACTTACCAAAGATTAAAAATAATTAAAACTCTAATCTTGGAGTGGAGTCAGTCAAGACAAGCCATTTAAACTTCCTAACTAATAAAAAGCAGCAGCATTAGATAATGATGAAGATAAGAATGAGCACTCCTAATCCAAATGTATCTTGGGATTCGAGAGACGCTTTGTCTTTCAGATCGAAGACTGAGATGATGATTAATAAGGAATAGTATGAGAAGAAGCTCAGTAAGATGAGAGTCAGCCATTCTAAGATCAAACTCAATCAAGCTATGAAAAGCAACAATTAAGCAGAAATGGAGTTAATAAAGAAAAGATCACCGAGGAAATATGAGCTAGTTCGAGACGACGATGATCTATCTCCAGTGTCATCAAATATGAAAAATACATTCATTTGCCAAGTTAAGGAATTAGGAAGACTTAACAAGCACAACAAGCCATCCATTGATATTCAAAAAGAGGGCTGCAAAATTTTGGGTTCTAGACCTTGTCAGAGAGACGGTTTCGTCTTCTTAGTTTTGAAGGATGAATGGAATGACAAGTACTTAGTTGTATTTGGAGGAGATAGATTCAAGAGAGCTTTCAATGATCTTTTCATTTATAAATTGAAATGAGAGAGGAAAACATACTTTAGCTTTCAATAACTAGTGAATAAGAAAGCTTAATATTTAGCAGGATGAATTTTAAAATCTGCCTAATTTGATTTATTTCGAGATTATTTAAGACTATTCCAGTCAAGTGGGGTTTTGGGGTTTTGGGGTTTTGGGG